AATTTTGAAGCTCTTGATTACAACTTGAAGTTTTTTTTAGATATTTAAGTCAACATAAAATACCGAGTCTTTTTACGAGTCTATAAACGTAGGTCGTTATATAGGTCCTGATGAATTGTTTTCAGAAAATTTCTTAAAATTTGTTCACGCTTAATTTTGATTTTTGCGGTTTGACTTGATTTCGTTTCTTTGTTAAAAGGAAGGCAAACTCGATTATCGAACAGTGAAAGTGGGAAGGTCACGAAAAACGTGATTGACTTGTTGTTTCGAAAGTCGGTTTTAATTTACAGGTTTCCCAACCAAATAAAAAGTTTACCTCTTTATACAGTTTTGTCATATTGGGAGAAAACATTGGGAAAACTAGAAATTCGGAGAGCTTTAAGGTCATCTATTTTTTTTGTTTACTTGTGTTCATTGACTCTCTTCCAACTGTCTGTTGGCTATGTTTAAAAGTTGATAACGGTGTTTGAAGCTGAATTGCAAGGCAATAATTGATGTCACATAGCTTAAATTGTTTTCCTTTTCTTTCCTTTTATGTCTTATTTCTAGCCGTACATCTTGATCAGATTTTAATCTTTTTGGAGGGACTTGATGGCGTTTTAACAAAAAAAGTCTAAGCGTACTCTCCTCTCAAATTTAGTTGTGTATATTTGAGCCATTATCATTAAGTTTAGAGGGAGTTTTAGTGGAGAAGCGTGCTAAAGCCCCCCCCCCCCCCTCGCCCATGAGCCACTCAGTGACTCAACCCCCTGCCGACTGAAAGGGTCCCCCATTAGTACTTTTTAAAGCAATTGTTTGGCGTCTAACCGACCCCAAAAGTTTTCTAAAAGCGCATTCGACGCCAATATATAATTAGTTTTGAGGGGGAGTGTGCGTCAATTCACAAACTCAAATTTTTTGCTTCTTTTGCCAAATTATTTTACAACGTAAATTTTAAGTACTGCTTGAAGTATCACAAAGAGCGATCCAGTTATTCAACCTGAATCTGCCACCTTTTGTAAGATAACACCCATGTTTGTTTGAATTTATTTTGTGTCTGGAAAGTTTTGGCATCATCTTTTTCCGTTTTTAAGTTCTGTAAGTGGCGCTAAAAGTGAGCTCTTCGATGAAAAAAGCGTGAAAATTTTGCATAAAATAGGAGTAAATTAAATTAGCTAGAGGAGTATTCGCGAAAGGAATATTATATTAAATTAGCGATAGAACTAATATGAGCACTAGCAAGAAATTATTTTTCCATTAATGATGCAATAACAGGTGATCTGGTCGTCTCAAAGACAAAATTGAAAATGTTTTAAACATGGAATCTGCAATATTTTAAAGTTGAAAATGGATATGAACCAATTAGATTGCCTTAAATAGGTTTTTTTTGCCTCAAGAGTTTTAGTTCACCAAGTGATGAATCAAACAGGCATGTTTTTATATCAAGGAAAAGCCCCGAATGTTCCGATTGCCCTTCAATTGGTCTCTAATGGTTTTTTATAACGAAAGTTTTGGTACACTCTAAATATTGGACTGTCAGTATCAATTATTAAGTGTTAAAACTTGAGTCTTATAAGGAATTAATATGACCAATTGGCTTTCCTGTTGGCCATATTATTGTTCCGACTTTTGATACGAAAGTAACGGAATATTTGTTCTCGGGTGGGTTTTTTTTTTCTTCAGACAAATTTCGATTTTTTAACTAGCAATTTTTGACGGAATTTTTTTATATATCATTCGAAGGCTATTGTTGCCCTGAGCTTAAATTTGAAAAGATATTTCATCTGTGATCCTTTTTCGTAAAGTTATGAGGGTTTAAATATTGCCATTTGACCAATTTGGGACAATTAACGCGCGATATAATTCGCGCTATTAACGCGTGAGCGGAGATTTAATCCGTCTTGGAAATCGTTGCAAATTGGTTGAAAGAAGCTAACTTGCCATAATTGATTTGTTACAAGGAGCGAAATCTATTATTTTGTACTTTATATGGCGTGTGAGAGGATGAGTTTCTTAGAAACATTTTCAAATTTTAGAAAAAAGTTTTTCTTTTTATTTTATTTAATTTAATTTTTCATGTTGTTTATGTTATTACTGCTCCATAAACGTTAAAAGGCAGTCGGAACTTTCAGGGCTTTGCCCTGATACGAGCAGTCTTGTTTCGTATGCGGAATAATAATATAATGTTTGGGATAATAATTCCTGTTACGCGTCAACAAAATAGAAGTTTTCTTCAAAAGAACAGTTTACATAGGCTCAAAGCTCATTTAGGATAGTGCGTAGCTCAAGCGCTTGTGAACACCTAATTTTCAGGTACAATTCTCATTCTACATCTTCCATAAATTGGTCTGAATAGAAACCAACCTAAACATAATATTCCTCACTTTTTTGGAAAGTCAAAACAATTAGTTAGTACTGTGTCGGGACAAAACAGGTCCATACCAATCAGTCAAAAAAAAGATAAAAGGAGGAACAACCAATCCAATACAAATCAGTCCGAAGTGATAATTGTTTATAGAAGCCGATTAGAATATCAAGATTATCAAGAAGAAAAAGCTTAGCAAGCAGAAATACCAACTAACTCACTCCTGCCTATTTCGGACTGTTTTGAATCGGATTGTTCTTTTTTTTTCATCTGGTCGTTGTTAGACTGTTCGAATGGGACTGTTTTGTCTATGAACTATTTGGAGCCTGAGGTAAATTTTCTTCAAGGTGAGAGTAAAAAACAACATGTAACAAGAGTTCTTGTAATTTTGTCAGTTGGCTCAACTTCAGTTCATTGTTTTAGGCTACCTCTTTACGACCTTCGAAAATAGGAATGTGATTTTTTCAATTGAAGTTAAGAAAAATATGACGACAGAAAAGCTCAATTTCAAAACATTCCTACGACTGGACGAGTACAGAAGGTTCCAAGACTGCACTCCTTCGAACATAGATGCAAAAGTATGTCTGTGTAAGAGAACAGTTACCAAATCAGTGATCGAAGTTCCTGCCGATAAGAGTCCGCAGCAGCGTCCAATTAGAGTTCATAGCAAACAAAGTTGAACTGCACCAATTTGCCGGCCGGTTATACAATTTGTCAGAGCATTGTGAAATAGTTTTAAAAAAGACAATGTGTGAACGGTTTTCTGATTTGTTCACCGAAAAACTCGAAAACTTATGAATGAAAACTTAAAAGAAGTATAGAAATGTCTGGAGTGATTAAACAGTATAATATGAGTATACGATTTCATGACTTTTCTCAAATTATTGAGAAATGTAGCTAAACTGCTAGTCAAAAAATAATTTATGCAACTGAGCGAAACACATCATGAATTTGTTTATTTTACTGCATGAATCTGCTTAGAAGAAAAAACATATTAACGTATCGTCTTATACATATGTTTTGCCCTTTTTTAGACTTTCGCCTCCTTCAATGGTGGTTAAGTACCATTTGGTCGTAAATTTAACTTCCATTTTTGTAAAGAATCTTTTTTCTAAATGGTATTTGAGCCTCAAATTGTTCTGAAAATCTTAACAATCAGGGCCTTTTTAGAACTCGAGAGAGATAACAAGTGAATCTAATTGATATAAAACAGACTCAATGGTTGAAATTGGGCCAAACTGTTTGCTTAAGAGTCAATTTAATAGAAGGCCATCCAAGTCCTGAACAGAGTAGGGTTTTGGAAAATCCAACTTCTCCCCGGTGCAGAAGATAGTCAAAGGTGCGTGATGATTATTTTCCATTTATTGTGACACATTTTTAAAATCTAAACTGCTAAACAAACACCTTTTTGTATACATTGTACTGGACAATGTTTCCAATATTTCTGTCTTAAATTCTGCAAATAATCTGACAAGAACAACAATGGTGTGCATGCATTATGATTGTCTATCTGAGCTCACCATTTTTGGCTCTTTTTTGGTAAATTTGTTCCAAATACAAAATACTTCCTGTTCAGTCTTAATCCTCATTTATTATTCAACAGACTGTCTGTGTTTATTTGTTTGCCATCGTAAGGATGCTAGGAGTAATGTCTCGAAGGAGCTATAAAAGATTTTTAAACAATGTAGAAGTTATTATTCAAAACAAAGTTTTGATAGTAGCTATATTTTAACTTGCGGGTATAAGCTGGGCCTAAATAGTTACTGAACCAACATTTTAAAAATTCGATTGAGAATGGAATTAATCAACTTGGGTAATTAGCATAAGATAAGATAGGATACTATTATTAAAAAAAGCTCACGCGATTCAAAATTACATTTCACTAACTCGAAAGCAATTATTCCTCATTTATGGATTACAGATTGCATTATATTTGTGATACACATACCTACTATGTACCCCCTGAGAAATAGGGCATCCTTGAAAATTAGTAGCGCGTCAAATATAAGTACCCCACGGAAATAGTTCTGCGCCATACGAGCTGATTTCTTTTGTATTCATTCTTGAGTTCCTTTGAAAAAAAACGAGCGTCTGAAAGCATTGGATCATTAAAATGCCTTGGTTATTACCCTCTTTTGCCAAAAAGGGCAAAAAGAAACCAAAAGTTTTCGAAGATGCTGCTCCTCCATTGAATACGACATTACCCCCCATCAATCCAACCCATTACACGTTTAAGAAGATCTCAAAAGAAGGGTTTCGGAAGTCTAACAAATCCCTGAAAACTCCGGGTGAGTAATAGTTTAATTGTTCAATTGATTATTTGTTATAAGTGATAATGGAGGCAATAATACAGTGTATCAGTAGCGGATTTAAGAGGAACAAAAGCCGCCCCTCTGCCGAACTAAAGTGTCCCCCTTTTGTACTATTTTGAGATATCCATTTTTGGCTCACTAGCCCTAAAATTTTTCAAAGGCGCCTTTAGCGCCAATATATACAAATTTTAAGATTCGAGTTGGTATATATCGGCCAAAAAAATGATTTGTTGGTCAACATTTTCTAAAAATAAAAATGCCCAAAAATGCCTTTTTTGGCCTGTTTGCAGAAAAATTTAAAGTTTGACCAAAATTTTGAGCATTTTTTGAAAATTCGCCCGCCCCCTCGAAAAAATCCTGGATCCGCCCCTGTAGTGTGTATTAAATCTACACAAGGTTTACAATTAACCTAAACGAGTATTACATGAGCTTGCGTGCAGGGTCAACAGGTTTTGTAAAATGACACTAACTTGAATTAAGTAAATAGAAGAATACGGTAAGCTATTTACGATTGCAGTATTGAAATTTATGATTGAAGTATTGAAACAAATGTAGTGGATCATTTGATAAGGATTAAAATCTTTCCGAAAAGTGAATGAAATAGGTTTAAACTGCGTACTGAAAAATGCATAAAATTTAATCATTTAGTAATTAGATTGTGCATTGAAGAAATTAATTTAACTAACGAAAGGGAAACTAACAAATAATTGTGCTAAAAAATTTAAAGCGAAAATGTCTATAACTGCGCATGATCAGAACACTCATTCAGGAACAAAAGCTCATGCAAAAAAGTAACATTAGTTAGTTTATCAACCAGGTGATTAATTAGCGATTCAGTAAAAATTTTCGGTGTTCTTCAAGTACCCGCCCTGAACGTATTTCGACCAGTGATGCTTGTCACAGGATGTTTGTCGGAAAAGAGTCTACAGTATCTAAGAGCATAGTTGGTTTTGAAGTGTTGCTTGTGGTATCCGTATTTTTTGTTTCTCAGTGTAGTTTTAGTCTTCTTTTGGTTTGTGGCGAAGAAAATTTTCCTGCTAACATATCATTGTGCGGTGTTATTTGCGCGCTCGCTTCCATGTGATAACAGGCAATCCCCGTTTAAACGCTTCTCGCAGTGGTTCCATCATCAAAAGTACCGGCGCCCGCACAATGACCCCAGTTGACCCAAGCATGTACGCTAGGCCGACTAGGAACTGGCCCTGCTCCTCGTTCTCGTAGTCGCGCACGAAGAAGCCGAGAAAGAAGAGTGAGTACTGCAGCAATCCCGAGATGCAGTAGATAGAACATGTTCCAATCAGCGCCAGATTAGACTGAAAAGTGGCTGTCTAATTATTTAGGAACAAGTCGAATTTTCACTCAATTAGTTCGTTTGGTTTTTTGTTAGGAAACAGTCTTGAAATTGACTTGAGCAGCTCAAAATTGATAGCAAAGTGTCAATAAACGTAGTGAATACCCTTAATGAGGCCGTTTTTGCAGTGTTTTTACGTTGAAACCATGTGGTTTTTGGCACTAACTGAAGTGAAAATGGTGTGAAGAAAGCAATTCTTTTAGTTTTGAAATTGGATTTTAGTTTTCAGAATACCCAGCAGAATAGAAAAGTTTTCGATCCATTTTCTCTTTTGGGTGAGTTTGTCGGAAAAAATGTTGAGCATAACAAATCTTTCAAACTCATAAGCCTGTAACGTTTTTGACTTTCTTTTCGCCAAATTCGTATGTTGAAAAATGTTCAAAAATGTAGTTCATTGACCTTTTTTCGGCCTTCTCATGTTCATTTTTTTTCATCCAAACAAACGTCTTACGACCCGCAGTTATGCAAGCGTGCTTGTGCTATGATAGTTTTCATAATTAGTGCGTTACTTAATCAAAGTATTCTTTTTGTAGCAAACTGAAGTTGTGTATCATTTGTGGCGAGCTGTTTTTGGCACTAATTTGAAGTGTTTTTGTTTCATTCATTAGATTTTTGGTGTTTTTCCCTTCGGCTTTAATTGATGGCAGGTTACAATAGTAGGCCCATATAACAAAAACAAAAAGTATGAGATTATTGGATTGATATCCCATCTGCACGCTTTTTTAATCGAGGATTCTGATTAAAATAACAGGCTCAAACAGACGAAAAACAAGATTTATGAAGAAGATTTATGAGCCTTGAATTTGACAAAAAATTAGTGGAAACCTTTTTTTTCTGAAAACACAGAAGCAGAAAAACCAATAATTTTGTCCTTGATCCCTTAAAATTCTCATTTTTTCTTAATTCAAAATTGTTGTTTGAGTTATTTGTAGAAATTTCAGGTATTTTACGATATCTAAAATAATAAAAACTTTTTTTTCATAAAAACGACGTCAATTTGCGTTTTCGGAGTATTTATATCTTTTACTACTAAACACGTTTTCGAGTAAAACAAATGCAGTCTTTTTTTCTTTGAAGCAGTTCCGCTTTACTGGCTATACAATTTTTCACGGTCAATCTGTAACCGATTAAATTAAATCTGGAAAAATGGCCTCGAAAAAAGTGATAGGATATTTAAATATTCATTACTGTTTGAATGATTTTGCTTGAAAGAAATTGTTTTTTTTGTCTATTTGAATTTCTAAAAAATTTGTACCGTAATAAAACTAAGTGGCTTATACTCCAAAAACTGCTCTGTTAATGATTTTTTATTTCGTCTTCAGACCATTCTGGTTGTCAAATTTTTCCAAACGTTTTTCCTTTGAATCTATTTAAGATATCCATTTTTGGTTAAAAAAATCCTCAAATTGTTTCAAGAGCGACTTAAGCGCCAATTTATACAAAGCATTGAGAAAGACCGGACGCCAAAAAATGCAATTTGTGAGCAAAACTTTTTCAAAAATTTGTGAGCAAAACTTTTTTTTGTCTTTCGGTTTGGCAAAAAAAGCTGGTCTTACGATTTTCAGATTTAGAAAAAATGCTTGCAAAAATTTAGCTAAGAAATTTTTCAAATGAAAATCTCAAGAATTGTGGTTTTGTTAAATTAATTGAATTGTTCGATTAGTTTTTTTCCTCAAATAGAACTGTATGAAAAGTATTTTTCTTTTTCCATGAATGGAACTGTTTGAATTGGAAATTTTTATGCTATAAAAAGGCTTAGGATTTTGTGTTCCTCCTAAGACAATAACACGTAATTTCTCAGAAAACCTATAAGTAATATAAGTAACGCAACAACATAATTATAGATTAAACGGCAAAAAAGCATTAGAGTGGTGCCATGTAAGTAAAAGAAGAGAATTTCACGCAGGAAAATAACAAAACGAATACATTTTCTTTTGTTTTTGGCCACAATTCTTCTGATTTTAGAAATTCGTTGCCTTTTTTGTGATAGTTTTAGGTTTATCTACGATATGGTATATGATAAATACAAAATGGTTTTAGCTTCACGCAAAACATTCATGTTAATTTTTTTTGTGTCTGTTTTTGAAAATGAGTGTCTGAACTACGTTTTAGACAAAAATTACAACTTTGCAAGCCAAGCCATTTTTTTTTCGTTAAATTTTTGTTGGAGCTTGGAAAAAATTTTGGGAAAAAAATACATAACTCTCGTCTGGAAATTTTTTGTTGCCATATGAAATTGCTTGCCATACAAATTAGATGAGCGGAATTTGTATGGCTATCATGTTCCCTTGAAAAGCTTGAAAACTTATTTATTTATGCATAATTTATGCATGGATAATTTATTTTTGCATAATTTGAATTTTCAGAGGGTAGGGCGCCAATTTGACGCAGGCGACAATTCGTAACAAGTGAAAACTCGTATCAAGGCTTTGGCTCCGCTGCGCTTACATTCGGTACGAGAGGAATAGTGGGCACAAATTATTGTTTTCCCCTCAATTTATTCTTACGAATATTCACTTGTTACGAATTGTCGCCTGGTACGAATTGTCGCTCCACGATGTCAAAGAGACATAATTATTCTTAAAAAAGTTGCTTGTCAATGAAGTTCTATAAATGGGAATGGCTTTATAGGCATTGTACCATAAACTGCATGCACGGAACTGTATGATAAGCCTTTTGAGTATATGGAGGTCAACCCGAAGTACAACGCCCGTATTGCTGGCCCGTTTTTTATAAGGCTCTGAGGGATCTAGTAAAATCAGTTTCCTCCCTCCAAGATCCCGGCGAAAGCAACTTTCTGTGTGATAATTTGTATGTTCTTTCCAGGCCCTTAATATTCCAGAATTATTTCCAGACTTCATGGAAAATAAGTCAAAATTTGAAAATTTTTAAGACGTCTTCGACTTAAGTCTTTTGGTCTATTTTTTTTCTAAAATTGATATTCGCCCCTTCGAAAGCTCCTGGTTCCAATTTATTTTTTTCAAGGCAATTTGCAGTGGCAGTACCGATATTAAAACCGGGTAAGATAACCAGAAGTGTCGCAGCATATTTAGAAAACTCAGATATACGAAAAGGAATGGCACTCTGATTTACAATTTTTCAAAGTCGTTTTATCCAATACTTATTCTTTTTGTGTTTTAGTTCTGGTTCTTGCAAATCATATTTGTTCTCGTGATCATTTTTTGGTTGTATCAAACCTGCACGTGATTGACAGTAATGGAAATCAAATTTCATAGTTTTTTTTGTAATTCGAAAAACCTTCGAAGTGATTTTTGCTGTTTTGCAATACTTAAGTAATTTGGGAGTTAGTTATCTTTCTGTTTCTCCATTCAAGCAAAGCTCTTTTTCGTCTGTGTGCGTAAGCATCATTCTTTAGCCTCATAACTCTATAATCTAGCCAATCCATTTAAAATTCAAGTATGAACTAAAGAAAATCATACCTGATAATGGCATTTTGCCTCGGCAGTATTTCTCACTTCGTGTCTTTTGGCCAAACACACCACTATCGCAACCACACCGGCCACTACAAACAGCAGAGCTGGCAACGTCATCGCATACAGCATCTGGTCATAGAGGCGACTGTCGCTCAGACATTTCCCATCCACAATGTCGACAGTGAGTGCCCTGGGTACCATGAACAACATAACCAGCAGTATCGCTGGCAGAACCACAAACCTACAAAGATTCAAAATTAAAATAATGTAGAGGTAAACAGGCTGCATCAAGAGGGAAACCGCTGAAACAACTTATAAAATTTTGAGCATTTTATAATTTTTCGGTACAGTTATAATTATTTAAACCAACTTGATTGTTTGAATCAGTTATCATTTTTGAAAAATTTCATACATTTGAATCAGTCATGATTTTTGAAACGGTTATGGTTTTAAAAAATCAAAAACAACCCACCACTAAACTGCGGGTTCAACTTCATTTTTATTGATAAAATCCACGGGTTCCGTCCATCGCCAACGCGGATTCATGTTTTTTTTACATGGTATCAATGTAGAGTTGAACAGTGCGAATTCATTGCTCATATTTCTAGCATATTTCGTTCGAATTCACCAATTTCGCGGAATTGGCGTAAAATTTCATGTTGCGGATTCCGTGTAAAGTAGCAAAAAAGAAAATGCCGCCATTGCAAGTATATAGTCCTGAAATCCGCTAATCCATGTATTAAGCTATGTTGATGGAATTCGCGTACTTAAAAGCATAAAAGTGGGTTTTGCAAACAGTACACACCTAGGCTTCGTATTGACTTCTAATCATCTATGAATTTTGGAATTGTACATATTTTTTAATCAGTTTTGATTTTAACACTTCAACAGTTTTTTTTAATCAATGGTGATATTTAAGATCACTAGTCATGTGACGAGCAATCACATCGTAAATATTGTTTTTCTTATTTTTGAATAAAGGATGGAATTTTAATGTGTGATTTTTTTAAGCCCTTTTCGAAATAGACAAATTTCGATTTTTCTCTTGCTTTTTTTGAATAAGGTTTTGTAAACCATGCAAAAGATATAAACGTTCTGAGCTCTAAATTTATCTCACCTTTGAAATTTTTTGTAAAACTGAGGCGGTTTGGAGATTTATTTAATTAACAACCCACAAAGAAACTGCCCGAAAAGATTTTTGTTTTTTATATTATTGAAAACTGATGTTTTTGCTAATTTGGGACAATTAACGTGCGATATCTCTAGTTCTAATAACCCCGAAAGCGGCTCAGAAATTGTTCCAGTTTCATAGCCAATTTGATTGTTCCAATTTCATTTTTCCAGCTAGTAAGAAATATTAAGACGTTGCTAGACGCTAAAGGTATCAATTTGTGTTTTAAATAGCGCGTAGGCGATTATTTTTAACTAAAACAAACAGGGGCGGATTTTCTCGAGGGGGGTGAATTTTCAAACGTTTTCGAAAATTTTGACAAAAAAACTGGTTTTTTTTGGCGCGCGCTCCCCCTCAAAGTTTGTATATATTGGCGCCGAAGACGCCTTTGGAAAAATTTTAGGGTAGGCCGGCCAAAAATGGATTTCTTAAAAAATACCAAAGGGGGAACCCTTTGGGTCGGCAGGGAGTCAAATTCCTGAAGAAAAGGCATCCGCCCCCCCCCCCCCCCCTAAATCCGCCCCTGAAAACAAATAATCTTTTTTTTGTATTTTCTTTCTGAATTTTATCAGTTTTTAAATTTTTTTGATATGTCGCATAAAATGAATTGTCGCATAAACTTTAACGGGCAATTGAAACCTTTAGGGCTTCAATCTGATAGGAGCAGCAGTAAAGTCAATAGAGCAATTTTTGAAAGCAACATGCTTAAGATTTCGAGCAAAAAAAACATTGCGTTAGACATATTGCAAAAAAAAAGAACAATATGGCATTCTTGGCAAAATTTGTAAGTAATTTTGATATCTCTGGTTTTGATATCATTGATATATCAAAACGTCTATTTCTATTTTTGCAAGCTTTTCTTGCCATACCCGTTTTTGTTTTTCTTGAATTTTGCAAGCTCTAGTTTGTCATTTTTGCTACAAATGCAGTTTCGCATCAGTGATAATTTGTAATGATTCGTTTCAATTCTTGGTACTGTATTAAAGGTTTTGCGCACTTGCCATTTGAAAGTGTTCATTACTATCATTCTCGTTCCTTAAAATTGGTTTTCAGCGATTTGCTCTTTGACGCGTTCTGCTCTTGAATCAATCTCCTTAATATTCTGCTGCTGAGCTATTGTCACTGCTTCTGTGTTACTGCTAGCTACTAAATGATCAGTCAGAATTTAGCTGATCACAAGCGGCAAATCAAAATTTATATCCTTTAATTTTAGACGAATTCAAAATTTAAAAAAAGTAAATTAAACTGATTGCTACATAAGTTATTAAATTATAACCGAATGTGATCGGACTGGTACGTGTTGCCACTTGCCGCAAACGAGACACGAGCTGTTTATGAAACACGTGGCAGTTATCGGTGCGAAGCGCATCTTCTCCAAGCAGCTTATCTACTGAGCAGTAGCGCCTTTTTTGGCCTGTTTTTTTTTTGAAAAAATTGCCTGCGGCGCAGAAAATTTTTCACAAAATAGGGTTCTTATGCAACACTTTGGGAGAGCTCGGAAAATCAAATTGGTCAAACTAAAAAAAGAAAAAAGGTCGGCATAATTTTCAAAACTTTTCAGAAAACCGCCTCTCCCCCCTCCATAGAAAACTTTCTGCGCACACCACTGCCGCTGGGGGACCGCTTGTAATTAACCTACCAAGTGGTGCGGGGTGAACATAGGTTGCGGTAGAATCGAGTGAATGCTATGGCCACTATTCTGTCCACTGCCAGGGGCACAGTCAGCCACTCTGGCAGCAGGAAGAGACAGCCAGAGATGTACACTGTCACTTTACACCCCACTCCAGTCACACTGCCCAGACACCAGTGCCCTTCTACATAATATAACAAAAAAGTGTTTTCTTGGCTGATGAGAACAGTCGTTCCCCTGAATAGACTAAATGAACAATCTGCCCCTTTCGTTTTGGGAAAACTTGGTTTTGGTAGAATTTCCCATTTTTAAAGTTGATCACTCGGATAGTTTTTTAAAAAACTCAAGTTCCTTAAGTGAATAATTTGATTTGAGAGAAACATCATATTGAAGTTCTTCTAGTCGTATTTCAAAGCAAAAACATTGAAAAGCTTTTTTATAAGAGTGTCGACAAAGAACTGTTCATTTTAAAAAGAAACAATACAAGTGACGCGCGAAGAATTGAAAGCAACCCGGGTTGACCTCCATAGACTGAAAATGCTAATCATATTTTCCATAAACTAAGTATATGAAAAAATGCGAATTATACATTTCTGATACATTTTTGCAAATAAAGTTTTTTCTTATTTTGGTATTAAAGTGATTGTATCTTCATAAATGAAAAAGAAAAACTTTTTGGCAAAAAATGCTGATCATACATTTTCCATATATGGAATTTTTATGACTTATGTTTTTTTGATGGTGCCAACAAAAACGTTACTGAAAAATTTCGAAACTGCACCCGAGAGTTTTTTCAACCGCAAAACGAATTTTGTACAAACAAGAAAATTAGCATGATGCAAAACTAAAATTTAGCATGCATGTAGTCCTGGATACACAAAAGTTTTTTTTTCAGTTTCTCCGGAAAAATTTTTTCAAAAACATTTCAAACTATATTTAATTTGTATGGCAAGTTTTTGTATGCATTGATCAAGGCCTGATTAAATAAAAACTTCAAAATTGATACTTTCTGTAGAATATTCATATTCAGGTCACGTTCAATGCATTGCTCATGCAAGATGGTCAAAATTTTGTTGGCTTTAGTTTTGAGTAATCCAGTCCAGTGTCTTAGTCATTAATGTTCGCTTACAAACGCAACCCAAAAGTTTGGCAAGAAAATAAATAGAAAAAACAAAACTTTGGTTTATGAAAAAATGCTAGTCAAGCAAATTCCATATATAAAAAATCTTTAATCATAGGCCTTTCATGCAATTTTCTGCACAGTAAAATGCATAAAAAGGGTATAATTAGCATTTTTATATATAGGAAAATATCATGATTAGCAGTTTTGGTCAACCCGGGAAAGTGCGAAGAGTTTCTAAATTAGTTAATGGAAGAAAGCTGTTAATGAATAGACGATGGAAAATGATTCTTATAATCTTCTAATTGCTCCGTTTTGGCTTTTAAAAAACGATGGAGTATTTTTTTTCTTGGTGTGGTTTGATCGGTGTGGTTCTCCTATAATGCGTAAGCGGCAAACAATTGCAGCTCTAGAAATAACCTAAACTGAATCGAAGGATCTATACGACTTATGAATTAGCTTAAAGGTGCAAAATTATATCACTCGGTGCTCTACATAGCTTGTCAAAAAATAAAAACACAATAATTTTTATTTTTTTATTTCTGATTTTGTAGATTATTTTTTTAAAATCACAACTACTTCATAGACTTTGAATGCAGTCGGATCATTCAACTCTTCATCTTGTTCGCTTTTTCAAGTTTTTTTTGGGCAGTAATAAGGTATTTCATAGTTTCAAATAGCTTAAAACATTTTTTTAAAATGATTTTGTGATAAATCTTTTTGCGAGGCTTCTGTTGTTGACGTAGCCACATGCTGTATGACATCAATTGCCATAGGCAGGACTGATCATTATGGTTGCTTGGAATATTTATATCGCGCTTTTCACCAGTTTTTTATGTACGTGTGGTGTAAGCGGCAAACTATTCTGGATCGGAACTTAATCAATCTTAGGCAAGATAATTGATCCACATTTTTGCTACTGAACAAAAAATGAACAAACAAAAAATGAACAAACTTTTGCACTGAAGTTGTTTTTTGAAAATTTTCGTACACTGCCAGAATTTGCAACAATTACATTCAAGAGCATTATGAATAATAATGTTTTTGCTCTGATAAGGGCAGTCTCACTCATTGTTTGTTATCGTATTCTTAGCCATATAAGAAAAAGTGTGCGCTATATGAGCTAGTTTTTGTTTTGTTCCAGTTTTTGAAATATTTTTTGATGTCAACTGAAAATATTGATGTCCTAAGTTCGAATTCAAAATGACACAGTTGGTTTTCCTATGATATATATTTTTGAAGTGATGGAAGCTAGAATTGTTAATTTTTTAAAGAATTTCACTAAATTTTTTAGTCTTTAGTCAGAAACATTTTCATACGGGTTGGAAACGGAAACGAGAGTTTGAATGTGTCTCAGCTAAAACACAAAACTACATCAAACTATCATACAGTACTTTTTGAACATCTAATCCTTACCCATAGTAGCACAAAGACACAGCTGAAAGATGGCCAACTGCTGCAGTATCTGCCCCACCGCCTGAACCCACAGGAAAGTGGCGGCAGAGAAGTCCCCCTGCAGCCCCCTCGCAATTATTATGATCAAACTCAGTGCACCACATGTAGATAGGAGTGGTTACATGATACATAGGGTGGCATATTTGCATATTTGAGAATCGATATTAAATAAATTGCTTCCATTATAGGGCAAAAATTAAGTAATCTTAGAGTCGTTTATCAGTCTGAAAAACTATTATTTTTTCTGGTAAATTATTTTTGTCATTTTAACTCTATTTTGTAAAATATATTTGAAAAGAAACTTCTGATCAAAAAAACCTGGCAGCTATTTACAAGCATGTGCTGCTCATTGTATCATATAACCACCCACATGCGACTACATTCAGTCCCGCTACCATCACCAGAGGAGTAGTGTCGTAAGAGGATGACTCATCGTAGGTGTAGATTGAGTCGCTGTCGTTTGAAGAGAGGAACGGATTCCAAGTTGAACTCATTTTCAGCGGTTCAAAAAAATGTTCCCACCTTTTTTGCTAGTTTTTTTTTTATGGATTAATGATTTTAAGGCAGACTAAAAGCGTAGCTGGCAGAGAAGTTGCTTTTTTCTGGGTTGATAATTTAAAATGTCGTTCGTTTCTGATTTTTAAATTTCAAAAGTGAACTTTTTCATCTCATTAAGATTTCAACTGATGATGACTTATTATTTCTAATTATATCTTGCTTTAAATTTGAATAAGCTTTGGTCGCAAAGGATTTTTGCTGCAAAAAATGCTGCCCAGTTAATTGTTAGGCTGTTGGTGTTGCAATCACTCTAGGTTAATTGACGCATCCCATCAGAAAGGTTCAAGATATCATTATCACTAATTGACATGTTTATAATGAAGCCAAAATAATTACTTTTCAGTAAACGGTTGTACTTCAAGCCTGTAATGGGGTTTGAATTAATCTTTTTAGTGTCAAGATAGTTCAGGGAAAACTACATTGTAGCATTATGAATGAAACAAACAAGAAAAGAACTAAAATGTGCTGAACACTTCGTCGAGAGATAAATAAACTATTGACTATTGCAAGTTATTGCGGAAAATAAAAATCATTTTTGGCTCCTTCATCTGACACTGCAGCCAAAACGTGTAATAAGTTACTAATTGTTTTACAGTTGCAAATAAAAAACTCTAGCAAAAACGTCAAAGTAATTTAGCCTGTCGAGTGACCCCTCAAAAGCAGAGATAATCAATTTTAGTTTTGCACGCATTACTCACAAAAACTAATCGCAAACTTTTATTGCAAATAAAAATTAAACATTTTTTTGTTAGGTTATCAACCTAAAAGTGCCATTTTAGTCTTAGAAAAAACTTGATTCAACGACTGATTTTCTTTAATGCAAATTTTGCCGGCAATCAAAATGTTAGTATGTCCAATAAACATCAAAAGTACCCGTGAAAGTGTTTTTAAATTTTACTGGCATGTTTCGTGAAAAATAGCAAGAAAAATGGTTGTGCATTGCGCCCTTTCTAGACCAAAGACCAAAAAGCAGGATTAACTCCAACTATATATTATCTGAGAATTGGTTAACCACTAATAAGGTTAATCTTCGTCAATGACAACAACTGGAACATAGTCCAAAAAAGTCAATCTGTTTTGGGCTCGTCGTTAGTGACTGGTATTTTCTTACCTAATGTGCCGTGAAAAAGTTGTTCAGCAAACTGTAGCCTTTAATGTCAAAAAACTTGTGGTGATGAGCGGGACGAATAGTTTATTTGAAAAAAAAAAACAACAACCGTTTAAGGACGGAACTTGAAATTGTCGAAGAGATGGAATACCTAATTTGTAGGTACATGACCTGTGATATAAAAGTGACAATTATGGGATTGATTCGACGGAGAAATCGATATGATACATTAAGCGACTGAACAAGTGTTTACAGATTCTGGCAGAAGCATACGGAATCCAGTTCGTGTAAGCCACAAAGCTTAGATTCCGACGATATATAATATATCAGTCGACGGCCTACATTGCAAACCAGAGAGCATACGGCACCTTGTTCAAGGTTTCCGATAGCATTCAGAAAACTGTAGACTTGGAAAATTTTTCGTTTTTACGTATTTAAAAAAAACTAACAGGAAGATGTTTAGTATCAAAAATAGGAAGCCGCTTCGGGCTTTATTTGTGAAACGAACATATCCGACGTGAATTTTAGCAGAGAAGGTCGCTTGAGATTTCTTGGCTATGCAGAAATTGAAACACTTTTCGGAGTCGGTTTTAGGCATTGAAAAAAAAACAGAACAGAAACGAAAACGGAAGCAGCGAGTTATGATAAGGAACAATATGGAAGCCGCTTCAGGCTGCAACGAGAGGCTCTTGAAAATAAAGACTATTTTAACAACGAGAGGCAAAAAAAAATTATGACGGCAAATTTTACACCTTCGAATCCAAAAGAAGATGGAAAACCACTGACTGACTGACTGAGTGAAATACAATAATTTCCGGCCAGCAGGCGTTTGCTAACTCAGATTTTGGAAATTGCCTATCAGTGTTTTTTGCAACCAGTGGCTATTCCAATGTTATACAAGTTAAAAAAATATATATTTCGTCAGCAGATTGGACATCTAAATCGTATTTGTTTTCAATTGATAGCACTACCACACATTCGATTGCTAATTTTATACTGCTACTCATTATACTGCTATTTACGTAATAACACTGGCTTTTAGTACTATTCTATACTTTTCAGCTGGTGGCCAGTTCATTTTCCGAAATCTTACAAAAAACAATATCACTGCACTAGATTGCACGCCAGTCTTCAAATTTTTTGTTCCTTTGTTTCTTCTTTCTCATAAACTCTCCAAAATTTCCTTTTTTTTACAGTTCTTAAAGTTGGATTAATTCAGTAGCGTTCATTGAGTAGCGTTCATTTTAAAAAAGAAAGATGCATTTTTTAAAAAAAATCAAAAGATTGTATATATTTTTCATAAATTTTCCTCCCACACGCTATGAAAAGAACAGAGTAATAAATATCGCATATACCAAGCTAATAAATACACTAAAAACACGCCTCAGTTCAATTTGAAACGATTTATAAAACGGGTTAGTTTTCTGCTTACGCTTTAATAGCACGAAATATATCGCGCTTTTGTTGTCCCAAATTGGCAAAATTGGCAATCTTTAAGCCTAATAACCTTACAAAAAAGTATATATTTGTTTTTTGATTTTTGGCATAAGCTGATTTTTAGAAAAAAAAATTCTCTTTCAACAATTTTTTGTAGCAATTTCTTGTTTTTTGATAGTTGAAGTTTTGCAAAAAAAATGGCAATTAGGTTTGATTTTTTGTTGTTCGATGAAAATGACTGAGTATTTGGTGCTCCGGAAGGTTTTTTTTTCTTCAGACAATTTTTTAACAAACTAGTTTTTACGACAGGTCTTTTTATATCATTCGAAAGACATTATTGTCTTAAAGTCTATTTTAAAAACATCATATTTTAACCGTGACTTTCTTTTCGTAAAGTTATAGGATTTTAATTATAGCTACTCGGCCAATTTGGGACAACTAACACGCGATATGTTCCGCGCTGTTAAAGCGTAAGCGGCGATAAAATCTACATATAATTTAGAATTTATGCTTAATTGCATTGGACGTGCGTTTTGGTCTCTTTAATATTTTGCGATATGGAAAAATACCAATTTTTAATTCGATTTTCTAAAAAAAAGTCCCCAAAAAACTTTTGATTTTTTATTCATAAGTTTCTAAAATCTGCAAAAAAACTTCTAAATGAAATTAGTACTCCATAGGCCTGAAAAAGCAGTGGAAAAACTCAAGGCTTTGAACCAATTTAAGCAGTTTTGTTGAATCACTTATGTGCACGCTGTTGATTAATAAGCCAATTAATTGATCCAGATAAAACTTCACTAGGTTCAAACAAGGCTACTTGTATCAAGTATATTTGTTATACAATAACAAAAGTCAATTTGTTTTCAAATTTTAAAAATACGGAACTTGGCCTATTGCATATTGCACCTTTTTGGGTAATAAATGGTACAAACTGCTTTTACTAACGACTTGTTTTGGCAAATCAGTTCTCTAGATTGTTACCCCTATTTAACTTGTCTCAACCCTGTTTTTTTGCTATCCATGCTTTTGACATGCTAGAGAGACTCTACATGAGTTTTTTTTGGGCGGGGAAAAATCACCTCCCATTCATCCGTCCGGAAAAACATTTTCCGAACAAAACCCATTAAACTTGAAAATTGAAAGCCGTTTTTCTTCTGGGTTGATTTCAAGTGAAAAGTGTTGCAAAGTTCAGGTTACCCACAAAACCTTTTTTGGCTTCGGTAATTTGGACGAATTTGGGCGCAACAAGCTTTAAGAAGGGTATCGTTTTTAAATTATTGTATAAACTAATTTTTTATAGACAAAAAAGGTCGTTTTTTTTATATAAAACATCAATTTTTTTATTTGAAAACAATTTTTAAATGATTTGCAATTTGTTTGGATTTTGGAGAGTGCATCCTTATTAAAGATTGTTGAGCTACGCAAAATGCTCACTGTCAGTTTTTAACTCGGTAATTTGGACGTGATTTTTTAAATTAATTTACGCCCATTACGCACAAGTTTACCAAACTATCAAGTTATTTACCGACATAAGTTTATGAAAGTGAGCATTTTGCGTAGCTCAACAATATTTATTAAGGGTATACTTTTCAAAACATTGGAAAACGTTTAAAAATTGTTTTCTAATAAAAAAAATTGTTGTTTTATAAATTAAAACTACTTTTTTTGTCTATCAAAGAAAATTTAACTAATTAATTCAATATTTTAGAGATTATACCTTTTTTAAAGTTTATTGGTCTGGTAAAAGGCTAACTTTGATGTGTTTATGTCAAAAATTGACTTGGTCATTTTGGCACAGTTTTTTAAACTAAAAAAGCCAAAAAAAGATCCATTTTTGGGAAAAAGTTTTGGGCCCGAAGTTCGCGAAGCAAAATGCACCACATTAAATCTACTGATAACCTAAGCATGTTTTGTCTTCATATTTTTTGTCTAAAATTGACCGAGTTTTAGAAAAACGTGTTTTAAATTTGAAGTTTTAAGCGTTTTTACGGATAAT